ATTTATATGCTGCAAAATTTAAACTCCTCCTATGCAGCAGGAAAGTAAAGTTGACAAAACGTGTATGGATGGTTCAGCTAACCTGGGAGTGGCAACGGCGTCAATGATGGTAGATTAGGACCCCTGCCCTGCTTTTAGCACACCTGGTCCAACGGCAGAACCTGAGTTCAGTAAGGTAGCAGCCGAAAAATCATTATCGAAATATCTGGAACCAAGTTAAAAAAAAAGGCGTACCCAGCGCAGAGAGCTTCCGCTCTGTGCGGGGTCTGGGGAAGGGTGTTAGTGGTAAGCCTTACCCTCGCCTGTATAATGCGAGGAGACCGCGACTCGAACCCGGGACCTTCCGGTCACAGGCAGTAAGACTCTACCGCTTGCACCAGGCCCGCCCTTCTATCTGGAACCAAGTTGCAGCTGTAAAAGCTAAGTGACGCTGCCACAAGTTCTTAACAACCCATAAGGGGTGCCAAAATCAACAAATGGTACAATGTGTTCCTGTGAATCCCTTTAAAATTAAATACTAAAGAAAGTCTACTTCTCAGTTCTATGAATCAGTTAAGGCTTCAAGTTCATATGTTCCATCATCGCATTTTCTCATGCACTTGGTGTGAAGCCAATATTTCCAAATCCATTTGTTTCTCAAAAAGTAATTAAATTAGGGGATAAGATATATGTGATTTTGAATTTTGAACCAGAGATCACCTTTAGAGTAACAATAATGATCTGTTGATGTTGTGTACCTTGGTGTCCGATTCGAACGAGCTGCAGCACGGTTTGATATCAGTTCTTGAGATAAAGTATACAATAGTGACAAATTGAAATATGGTTTGACTTCACACACAAACACATGCAGCCACACAGGTTACTAATAGGCTTTCAGAAACATCCAGAGTAAGTCATTGGAGTGTATAGTGACATAAGTGTGTGCCTATAGAGAACATGTGCCTAGGCTTTCTTGGAAGATAAATAGATAGCAAGGAATAAATTGGTTTTTCACCATATATGATGGTTTGGATCACTAAAATCACGAATGCCCAGTTTTAGCTTGTGGAACCAGTTAAATTCATGTACGTTGTACTGTCAAGAATTCGTGTGACATATGAGCATTGTGGATGAATCAAGCATCACAAAACATGGCCACAAGAGGAAATCCATGACCAATTTATCATTCCATAAGACAAACATGTTTTCCTATCAGCGTGCATGATTTTTCTTTGTTCATGCCCACTTGTCTAATCCTTTGTAATGCGAAATTAAGGGGAATTTCAGCAAACACTCCCATCCAGTACTACATAAGCTTCCTTCCCCTCTAAGCCATCGTATGCAACATCTGTGGTTCAAAATTGACAGGTACCTTTATTCTATTGGATTTTGGCTGATATAGCCAAGTGCCAAATCACGCCAAGCATTGCATTTAAGTTTGCAATCATGTGCACACTCCAAAAATTCAAAGAGATACATATGACGTAATAAGGAGCACATCATGTAATTCATCCAAATGATAACTCACGACTCGAAACAAACAATAGTAGAGTACTGGGTGTGCCTAAATCAGAAAAGCGTAGACATGTCTTAGTGCAGATATGCACAGTACAACATTCATGAAGTTTTTTGGCTTTCAAATTATTTTTGCCACTGACAGTACAAAATGCAGAAGGAATAACCAGGATACAAAGCAAATGAAAGCAAAGTGTCTACGTCATGATTGAATCAAATAGCATGTCCTCAAAATAAAACTCCCTAAAGTTCCTTGACTGAATGAAAACAGCAAATTCTGAATGATTCAGAAGTGTAAATATGAAGTAAACTTGTAGATAAAGAAATGGATTATTCCTCATAGGAGGATGACTTCATATAAGAAATCGAAGAGCGAATATCCTTAGGCTGAACAATTAGCAGAAAGACAACATTGTAATGCTGATAGTAGTTCATATACTTGTCTACTTGGTGTTGGGTAGACCGTGCTTTAGTTTTTGCTTCAGATGATTAATACGCAACAAGGGTCGATAAGTGGGACGTGGTTGCCTATGGTGGGTCCTACCTTCAAACAAAGCAGATTTTGTATTCATAAAACCGGTTAATTGATGTACCAACCAATGCACAGGTAAATCAATTCTTGTAATGAAGACATTCAGTTAGTGATTCAATACCACATGGACATGTATACACACAGAACATACACTAAGGTTGATTCCAAATTGATAATCATGACAGTGTCATCAGATTCATACTCCAAGATTCAGCATGATCAGAATGTGTCGTTATCTATACTATACTAACACAATCTCAGACAGATGGATCTTACATGACTATGCAGCCTGAAACCTGAAAGACTCTCTGTAAAAAAAAAGGTAATCTGAAAGACTCCTACCACTACCAGAATCTCCTATTTGTTGAGTGGTTGGATTCCAATATATAAGAGCTTAAGTTCAAACATCTTCCACACGGACTTTTTGTCTGCAGCAACATAAAAGAGGAGAAAATAGAGGCAGAAAAAAAGGTGTAAATTACAGGTTACAATTCTCTAGATAATAGATTTAGAGAAATGATAAGATCAGAGTACATAGAAAATTTCTTTTTCTCTCCAAGCTCATGGAATTTGAGCCATTTGGGATGAAGATATTAGCATTCACACACCTTCAGATACTTCAGAGGGCTAGTTACCATCTAAGTTGTACGGATACGGATACGCGTATCGGTATCGGAAGGATACGGATATGCGGATATGGCAATTTCCAATATTATTATCTTATCGTGCGATACGTGTGTTTTTAGTATAAAATATTAGCTATCCCGTAGCAACGCGCGAGCACGCTACCTAGTAGTAGAGATAAGACAGAAGGGGTCTACTGTTAGTCTGTTACTATTTCCGCTCTTAGTTTTTTTGGCGATGCTTGGCGCAAGCAAACGCTACATGTCTGGCTGTGTGCTTTGCATTCTACTGGTCAAAGTTCGAACCCCCTCGGGGGCGGATTTGTTGGCCGGAAGAGGCGCAGTTTATTTGCGCGTTGAAAAAAAATCTCCTCGTCTGCCTCACGTCAAAGCACAGGTCTAAGGCCAGCCTAATTTTACGGGAGCTGTGGCACGGGACAGAGGTTCGAGGGTTTTCTCGACCTACGTGAGAAGATCTTCTTCTTAAGTACAATGCTTAGGGGCTGTCTTACCTCCACGGGTGGAGCTTTTTTTTTTCCGATGCTTGGCTTGTTGCGTAGTCACCAGCTAAATGGAACATTACTGACTTTATTTGGTATTTTTGTGTTTTTGTGAGATCCCCACCAAGAGCTAAGGACCTTAGCCAGGAGAAGGCTAGAAGTCTAGGGATAACAATTATTAGCTTGGTGTACGTGTATTACCGGAGTTCAATGGTGGTTATTAGCTTTTGTTTCCTTATTCAGGACATTAGGGGTTGTATCACACTTTGAACTCCGACTGGGTCGATGGATGCATGAAACTGCACTTAGCTACTTACCATTATGTTTGGCATGCCAATTGGAGACTATTGTAACCGATGGTCTTTTGAATTTTTGACAAGTGATGTGTTGGATTTTAATGTTAGTGTGTACTTGCTTCACATACTGTCATCGCTCTCAGGAGTAAATGTTCATGTTTCATGAAAACTGCAGGTAATACCAATGGTTGACTACCAGCAGAATGTTTGAATATCATACTCAAAATATCGTTTTTTAAAGTACAATACATGTTCAAGCTCGAATTATTGTGATATTATTATTTTTTCGTTGCAACATACATGCATGATCTAGTATAGATTAAAAGATCTCTGTTTATCGGCTTTAATAAAAGTGGGTGCTCTGTTAATTTTTTTAACCCATCACGTTGCTATAACAGTCAGTTCGAGCGAAGGAAAACAAGGCCACAGCCCCACGCCCACCGGGTCAGATCGCACCACTTCACAGTTCACACGCACCCGACCGAACCAGGCCGGCCCGTCTCGCGTCCCGTCGCGTCGCGCGCACCACCTTCTCCTCCCTCCCCTTCTTCCCCAGGGAAAACACCTCGCCTGCATACGGACGACGCACCACCCCCCTGCCCCCGCAACCCCGTTCCACCGCGCCCGATCTCCGGCGTCGACACCGCCGCCTCCGGCGAGGCCCTTTCCGCGCTCTTGAGGCCTCCCCAGGTGCCTTCAGGCCTTCGCACCCCGCCTCGTGGGCTTCCCCGGGCTCCCCTGCCCCAAACCCTAACCCTAGCTCCTGTCTTGGGGCCGTTCATGTTCATCCCCTGCTCCATCGGGCGCTCCAGTCGGCTCCCTCTGGCTCCCACGGCCCCGTAGGGTCGCAATTGAGGTATGTAGAATGCCGTGCGGTGTTGTGGGTGACAGGTCCGAGTGGTCAGTGCTGGGGGACTGCACCGGCGGCTGCTGAATTGTGCTGCATTTGGGGTGGTACATGCGCTGGTCCGCTCCACGTAGTAATCGCTGAGCCAGAGTTAACTAGTAACGTGCATGGGCTAAAAGTACGTCATGTCACTTTTCAGTTTGGGAAATGGTGTGGGCGGGCTCAAAAATGTGATTTTTTCTGTACTTGTTCTGACGGTCCTGGACTTTTCTTCTGATATGGAAACTAATGACATCGTTTAAGCAGCCTGTCAGGTTGTGTTTTTTTTTTGTTACTTGATAAGGCAAAATGCTGCTATTTCTCTGTGTGAGCCATTGTTAATTGGGCAAGGGATGTCATGTCATTTGCAGCGCTTGCTCATGTTTGTTGGTCACATGCCGTTATGTCAAAGTCTGTCATTGAATTATTGTGGTTAGACTTATTTTAAATCTTTTTACATGTTTTCCTTTTGCTTGACCCTTATATGACAGGAGTGCGTTTCTTGTTGGAAACTCTGATTGGTCCGTTGTTTCTGATAGCATTAGTTGGGTGTATGTTGACCGGCTTTTGGTGCAGGAAACAGAGTGTCCCTTTTCTTGACTTGAGAATCTGAGAGGACACTGCAGTTTAATGGCACACACTTCTGACTACATGTGCATACAATGATGCATGGGCAAAGCCTGCTTCTGTGGTCCAGTGGCTATTGAGCTGTTCTCTATGGGAGGTATTGCTGAATGTGGTGTGAGCGTTGACACTAAAGCTTCACCACGTCGTGCAGCCATAGAGAAAGCTCAAGAGGAGCTCAGGTACATAAACTAATAGACCTTGCTCTGAACTTACATATGCCTTCTCTACATACCTGATGCTCATCAATGCAAAACTCCAGGCAGGAATATGATGTCCGTGAAGAACGAAGGAGGGAGCTTGAATTTCTGGAGAAGGTTTGCATTGGCATCCTTATGGTTTGCACATTGAATTTGCGTCAGAACTTTTTTTCCTTGTTTATTCACTTATTGTTGCAGGGAGGCAATCCCTTGGATTTCCAACTTGGCCATGTAGCTTCGCTTAGTGTACAGTCCACTTCTGTGACAGAACAGATAGCTGAACAGAATGTGATAAGGTGATAACTAATTACTGATCTATCATTTGATAACATTGTTTATTCATCTAAGCCTTTTGTGTCTATTGTACCGCAGTGAGACCAAAGGTAGTTTTGCATTTGCTACGTCACCTCATGGGGATTCTGTTGAAAGCAGTGGCAAGCCAGGAAATTCATTGTGCCGTGAAGGCAATACAGCCGATAATCTTATGCTTTTGGATGGAGATGCCAGCAACATAGGTGGGGAGAAAATTTCGAAACGTGGAACTAAGAGAACTAATTCAGCTCAAGCCGAGCAGTTCCTGCACTGTGATGGTCAGAACAATGCAAAAGAAGAAGATTCTGGGTTGTTCCGTCTTGGTCCAAAGAGCCAAGCGTACGCACGACGTAGGTCAAAGTCTATCAGAGAGAATGCAAATAGTGCATCTGTTAGGTATCCACCAATTCCTCCATTGAGTTCTCAGCAAAAAGATGTAACGGGGTTAATCCCAGAAACCAAGACTGAGGATAATGGTGTTTCATCCATTGGTGATTCAAAACCGACTAGTCTTAACTCTAAAAATATGCTGAAAAATGCGTCAGTACTGAATGATAAGGTGGCAATGGAGACGGAAAATGTTCAAGCAATTCCTGAAGGCAACCAAACATCCAAAAATGAGTTATCAAACAGCAACAATGGCAGTCCTGCTATGGAGATTTCACCAAACAGTGTGCCTGATAATTCTCATCTTACTGTAGGTGATCAGATGGCTACTGCATTTGCTTCTGTGGAATCCCCAGATGCTATTTCAAAAGTAGCTGCTTCAAGGATAGTTTGTTCTCTCCCATCTATATCCAATGAAATATCGAAAGAAGCACAAACTCTTGAGAAGGCAGGTAATAGCCCATCTATGGTAAGTGTGGTTGACATTCATGCAGATGGTATGGATAACAATGGTGCAACACCTTACTCTGCTGTCAAAAGTGCTAGTTTGAATGAAAATGAAGTCGATCCAATTGATGCATATGCTGCCAAAGCTGTTACTGAACATCCAGGTCAAAATGAGCATCTTGTACCAGTGAGTGCAGATGAAATGGCTGATGAAGGGTTGAATAAGATCCTACCTGACAACCAGGATGACAAGAAAGACGGTCAACTGGAAGTTAGTAGTCGGCCTGTCGTTTTGGATGACAGTTCTACTCCTGCACATCCTGAATTTAGCAATTCCTTCTGTGCGAAAGATGAAACAGAAGTTTGTAACAATGCAGTAGATTCAAAAAATAATGCAGAACAGCTTGCTACTTCTAATCAGGGAAAAGGGAACATGGAGGAATGCAAAGATTCTGATGGAAATAATGCAAGTGAATTGAGTGTTGCCCAAAAGCTAGCTTCTGTTACTGTGCCCCCTGCCACAGACACAGGTGTTGTGAGTAACTTTGTAGAAAATGATGTTGAGAAATCTAGCAGAGATCAGGAGAAGATAGCAAAGAGGGAATGTGAAGATTCTGTCGTTGCAAAGAAGGATCACGAAGATGCTATCCTCAGAAGGGCACGGTATATAGAGGTATACCTAGTATATAAACCCTTCCTTTCTGATAGTGCTCTTTTGCTTCTAAAAAGGGAAAACATATTACTTGGCACAGGCAAACATTAAGAGGGCTGGTGAACGGTCTCTCTGCAATATTTCTTTGGAGAAGAAGCGGAAGAGCCACTGGGATTTTGTTCTGGAGGAGATGGTCTGGATGGCAAATGACTTCATGCAGGTTCTTCCTCAACTGTTCCTTCTATGAACTGAAATATTTTTGCTGTGCAGCTCCCCATTGTTGACTTGAAAAACTTATTTGAGTATCTCGCTTCCATAATAGGAGCGCCTGTGGAAAAATGCAGCTGCAGCACAGATGTCCCACTGGATTTCTTCTAAAGGGCGAGCGGTATTTGAAGAAGCAAGCATTCAGAGAAAGCAGAAATCTGTTGCCAGAGTTCTGGCCAATGGTATTATGAGCTTTTGGCGTTCAGTCTATACTTTACGAGCTAGTGGTGGTATTCCTAAACCAATGCAAATAGAGCAACCGAATGAGCTAGAAGAAAATAAGCTGGGTGGGGTCAAAGCAGGAAAACCGGTAAGCAAAATGAATATACTGATTAATTTTTTTATAGTGTCCCAGAATGCTTAAGGACTTCATGTTTATTTGTAAGTGTCCCAGTTTAATGGAATTGTTAATGGCTCTTGATGTTTGAGCTTCATGTTTATATAGCTTGGTGTATTTGGCATTTGATATTGGGGTGATATTGAATTTGTACAGGATGAGGAGTGTTTGGAGCAAGAAAGGTCTCGTCAGTCTCCTATTCAGAGCTATGCACTTAGGCTTCTTGAGTACAACATTAATGCATCTGAATGTCTGCCATTTGCCGAAGCACCACCAACTCCTGACCGGCTAAATGATTTTGGCATTTTGAAAGTACCTGACCAACTTTCAGAAGTAATCTATCTGAACACTGTTCTTTTGATGACCAGTTTGTTTACACCACAACAACAACAACAACAACAACAAAGCCTTTAAGTCCCAAACAAGTTGGGGTAGGCTAGAGTTGAAACCCAACAGAAACCAGTTTGTTTACCAGTTTGTTTACACCGTTTTGCTTTTTTTTTTCATTTCATCAAAGTGCTAGTAAACCTGATACAGCAACTGAGCCTAGCTCAGTTGGTGGGATATGTGGGTATCTCTCAGACTTGTGTCCTCTTTGGCTCGAATTTGGGTGCCTATTCCTTGTGTACAATGCCATCGAGTTCCTCCTAGGTTGATCAAGTTTTTTTAATAAACAGTAAATCTGAAATGACCTCACAGGATCTCAAAAAAATAAAAATGCTAATGATGCCCCCCTAATTTCAGGCAAATCTCTTTTACGGCGTAACACCTGGTGCAATGCAGGCATACAGGGAGTCTATGGAGCGTCTCTTTGTTTATAATAACAAGGTAAGGAGATAGTCCTGGTACTCTAAGAGCCTTACACATTTTTTATCATCGGGTTATTTTGTTATGGGCGTGTTTGCTTCATGGTCTCTCAGGCGAGCTGCCTGCCAGGCATCCGAAATTGGATGCCTAAGGGCGACGCTCGCGCCAGGCAAAGCAGTCTGGGAGCAAAGCAAACATGCCGTAAATGTTGAAAATTTGAGCACACACTGAAACATATATCTTTTCGGTAGAACACATGGCCAAGTGTTTCGCCTGTGTATCATTTTGTAACGGTTAACAGTAATGCTATGTTACTAAATTGTTTTTGTCTTTCTCGTTTTCTTTCTTTCTCTCTGGTCCTTATGGCTCTTGTTGAGCATCATTCACTAGTGTACCTCAACATGCTTGGGAGTAAAGGCTTTGTTGTTGCTGTTGTTTCACTTGTGATTGCTCTTCAATTGCTGGTTTCTAGGAAAGCTTCATGTGTTAACTGTTAAGCAGTGGGGTTACAAAATGCAATAGTCTCTTTCCAAGTATCTGCTTTATAGATTTTGTTTGGTATTATGGGCTATAGAATCTTGGGTGTTAATAGCTACCTTGTCAACACTAAATTGCTAACAGGAAACGCCTATAAGATCCATTTGCATTTCTGCCGTTTTCTAGGTGGTCGTAAAAATGGACGTATATTGAAATTAATATCTATTTGTTCCAGAAAGTTGGTAACACTGTACTCAAGGATGATTATGAGCCATCAACATATGCATCTGTCACAGGTATTATTATGTGTTTCATATTCTTACCAACATAAACTATATACCACTATTCTCTAATTTCTTGTGTTATTATGTGTTTCATGTTCTTGCCAACACTAAATTTTGTGTAGATGTCCCTATGGACAATGCATATGGAGATGATGAAAGGGAGGCACACACCTATTTATTGCCTGGAGCTTATGATGGTGGTTTGGCATCAAAAAATAGTCACAAAAAGAAGCACCCTTTGCTGCAGAGGATAAATGGCGCAAGGTCGTATGAAATTGGTGCTGACAGTCCTTATGAACCACCGTATTTGGAAAGCAAATCAGGAAACCAGAAACTCTTATCGAACGGCAAACAAACAGACTTCCTCACCATTCCTATAAAACGCATCCGCACAGCAGCTAGGCAGCGGGTTGCGAGTCCATTTCCTGCTGGTGCTTCTGGGACCCCTCAATTCACAAATAAAACAGACGCATCTAGTGGAGACACAAACTCCTGTCAAGATGATCAAAGTTCATTACATGGAGGGTCATTTTCCAGGAAGAACGCAGATATAGAGTCCACTGTTGATTTTGACAGACAATTGTTGTATGATGGTAGTGAGGTGTCTACAAAATCTAAAAAGAAGAAAAAGACTAAGCACCCAGGCTACAAGGCACTACCAAACGTGGCCGAATCTTGTTCATTGATGGCTCCTGGAAAGGTTAATGCTTTGTGCAAAATTTTCATTATTTTTGTTGGTGGCTTTGTTTGATAGAGGAAGTTTCTGGTGATTTTTTCAGGGCACTTATGATCCTAGATCTCAGATCGATATGATAGCTCAATATGAGCAGGTATACCTTTTCTTCTATATTTGATTATATTGCTTGAATAGATCATTGCAACTAACTTTTATGTCATGGTGGCTATCCATACTTCTATTTAGTAACAAATTGCTGAACAACAGTCTGAAATGGTTTAAGGTTCTGAAAACAAATCTTCGTGCTAAATGAATTTATACGTGCATCATGTAGTATAGCGCTCTTTTGTGTGTTCTAACGCTGAGACCTGGGAATGCCACAAGATAACCTAACACCACCATACTTAGTATCTGATGCATGTTTTCTCCATTCTGTGCCAGAAGGATTATATTAAAAAGAGACCGGAGACTCATCAATTCGAGTCAAATGGGAATTTTGGTACTCCCTTTATCCATTCTTCGGATAGCATACTTTATCATCATATTTTCACTACTGCCACATGAACACAACTTGTTCTTATCATTCGAATGTGAATAGCTCCTCACATGTTAGGTGTTATTGATTTATCAACAGTGGTTAATGGCCTACATGCTGCTAAGAAGCCTAAATTGTTGAATCAAGCACCAGATATTTCACTGGAAGCTCTTACACCAGTTGGTCCAATGGCCTCTCCTGCTGCATCACAAATGAGCAACATGGCAAACCCTACGAAGGTCATAAAGATTAGCACCCGTGGAAGAAAAAGTAAAGGACTCAAGGTATTAATATCTTTTTTGTAATTATCATTCTGGTTATGCAGTTTTTGTATCCCACTTGAATCTTTTTCTTGAAGTTATCAGCAATTAGTTTTTGATCCATGTCTTGGTAACATAAAATGGATGGCTAGGTCAGGTTATGATTTAGTCACTGTGAGAAGCACTACAAATATATTTACTAAAATTTTCATTTCTTGCTATTTCTTCTTGCTCCTGTTGTCCACAACAACTGAATGCACTACTGAGTAAAGCTGTTTACCTTGTTATTGGTCACTTGGACATTATGTGCCTCCATTATTGGTAATGGTAGGAATGAGCAGAGTTTTTATTTCTTGAATCCGCAGGAGAGCTGCATATCATTATATTAGGAAGAAGGGGGGGGGGCGTTAGGAACCTGTACAACACCACGCCACCCTCACTTAATCAAACACTAATATCACGCCTTCAAACACAACTCGACCAACAGCCGGCAGCCTCTAGGACTGGCCACTTGTTGGTGCAAGGACAGCAAGGTAAGAGATGCCTTGTGCCCTGGCCACACTCCAAAGATGAAGCTCTTCCCGAGCGGAAGTTAACACCATAGTTAGACTAGGGATGATTCCATAAAAAACACAATGGTTATGGTGGATCCAGATTGACCAAGCACCTAGGATGACAATCGAATCCCCTTGTCCTGTCCAGAGACTCTCTCCACAGAATTTGCCCACCACTCCGCAGCCACACTCCAAAGACGAAGCTCTTCCCGGGCAGAAGTTAACACCATAGTTAGACTAGGGATGGTTCCATCAAAAACACAATGGTTATGGTGGATCCAGATTGACTAAGCACCTAGGATGACAATTGAATTTAGCCCTTGTCCTGTCCAGAGACTCCACAGAATTTGCCCACCACTCCACAAAAGATGTTTCATCAGGTTGTGGACAGATAGATTGCAGACCAACCAGATGTAGCAAGCTGTACCAAACTTGTGCAAAAACGCAAGCCACCTGCAAGTGATCAATGGTTTCCTCTTCCTGGTCACACAGGATGCAATGCTCATGATGAGGAAGGCCTCTTTGAGGCCTCGAGCAAGACAATCAGCAGTCCAACATCTATTGTGGGCAACTAACCACATGAAAAACTTACATTTGCCCGGTGCCCATGTCTTGCCAGATTCTTTCCCAGGGTCTGAACTGCACCGCACCAAGAAACATGCCGTCATAAGCTGATTTTGCAGAGTATTGCCCTGAGGAGGATTTTGCAGGAATGAGCAGAGTTAAAATACAGCCATGCTTAGCATGAATTTGGCCAATTTTCACATTCTTGATTGATTGAAGTGCTTTAGCTGTCGAGCATGGCTAGAGGGAGGCTTGGTCAAGTTTATTGGCCAAAGAACTTGTGTAGGCCCCTGTTTTTAAAAATCTGAAATATCACCTTATGAACTCACGCTCAGGGTGCGCTAGAGATGCTGATTCCAGGTTTGATCAAATATAAATTGATCTAAAATCTGAGCCGATTGCTACCTTCAAGATTTCAAATTCTTTTGAATAGTCCAACATTTTCTGTTTTGTGTTAAGATATTTAGCATTCTATGTTGCTTTTTGTAGTTTATTTTTTCTCAGAACACGCAGGAGAGCTGTGTATCATTATATAAAGAAGAAAATGGGGGCAAGAACCCATACAAGAAACCTTACACACGCACAACACAACCCACTAGGATCCTAAACGTCGCGCCCTTAACAAGAGTTGGAGACGACCACTACCACAATCAATAAACAATCAGCCCCTGTGCAAGGAGGTGATTGATGCCTCTCGCCCCAGCAAAACCCCCAAAAAGAAGCTCCTCACTAGCAAGCAATAGTGCTCTAGCTAGGTTAGGAGGTTCAGAAAACTCCACAATGTCCAGGCCCCTAAGATGGTGATGGAATCCAGACCCTTTCTTAAGTGATCAGGCACCCTCCTTGAACTTCCGTCCCACCAATCATCAAAGGAGATCTCATCAGATAGGGGAGTGAGACTGTAGCCGACTGGGCGCAGAAGGAAAAAACGGAATTCTTGTGCGAAGACGAATGTCGACATCAAGTGGTTAATATTTTCCTCCTCTTGGTCACAAAGGGGGCAACAGGAAGGGTGAGGAAGCCCCCTCCGTGCCAATCGATCAGCCATCCAACACCTTTCACGGACCACTAGCCACATGAAAAAACGACATTTCCCAGGCCCAAATTTTCCAAATCCTCTCATAAGGACTGAAAATTACCGTACCAAGAAACAGGCTTTCATAGGAAGATTTCGCTGAATAATGCCCATCACCAGAGAACCTCCAAATGTGAGTGTCTTCCACCTCTGGTTTTAGTACTTCTGAGATGAGATCAGAGATCCCAAAGGGCGAAATACTCTGAAAAATGGAGCACATATGGCGCCCTGAATATCCCTAACCCAGGTAAGGTCAGTTAAAGCTTCGAGAACTGTTCTCTTGTTCCTTTTCCTTTTGGGAACTAACACCAAGACTTGAGGGGCAAGATCAATTTATCTGTCAGTCCAAAACAAAGTTGCAGCACCATTACCAATCTCTGAAAGCACAGCAATAGAGAAGAATGCTTGGACACACTTATGGACTGGCACATGAAATTTGGTCCAAGGATGAGTAGGATCTATTTTTCTTCAACCAACCATCTCAACCGAAGAGTCCAGCCAAGGTTTTGGAGATTAGAAATTCCAAGAAAACCACCAAGCTCTTTGGGGAGGCACACTTTGGTCTACGCCACTAGACAGTGGCCACTCTTGGCTTCTTGCAGTTTATGTGTTTCTTATTAAAAAAAGCTTTCTAAAATTCTGATCTTTTTGTTAGATGCCAGCTGGTCATTCAGGTCCTGGAAGCCCATGGTCAAGTTTTGAGGATCAGGTTATTGTCTTTGCAATATTGTGGGTCTTATTCTTTTATTTGTTGGCAATACTCTAATTTCCTTTTATACCAGGCTCTTGTTGTCCTTGTCCATGATATGGGTGAAAACTGGGAATTGGTGAGCGACGCCCTTAACAGCATTATCCAATTGAAGGTAACATTTTATTTAGGATAACTGTTTTAATTTGGTATCAGTCATTTATTTTTCTCCTTGATCATCAAAATGTACCATGCAACTATTTTGTTGCAACCTGTATGTTTGTGTTTTTCTTCTAGCACCTTTTGTATTTCTTAGGAGTAAGTTTATGTTATTTTGTGTTCCTCTTTGTAACTGATTTATATTTATAATTTTTCATGGCTTTGGATCTTAATTGTTGCAAACTTTCAATAGTCTGGTGCTAATTAAAAAAATATTTTCTATTTTATTACTTGATTGAAGATTTTAGCATCTCCTTCGCAGTGCATATACAGAAGGCCTAATGAGTGTAAGGAACGCCATAAACTTCTGACGGATAAAAGTTGTGGTGATGGTGCTGACAGTGCTGATGACTCAGGCTCATCTCAGCACTATCCTTCTGCATTGCCTGGGATTCCAAAGGTTAATTCCCATTTATTATTTCTTCTATTTTACTTCTCAGCTTGTATATGGAAATGATTTTTGGAAGATTATGATTCTAGATCTTTGGTCAAGCGGCTTCTAATCTGCTGCATCTTTCCAAAAATCATTATGGCGGTTATAGAAAGAAAATGAGAATTTTTTCTTCAACAACGTGCAGCACATATTAACCAAAGATACACACTCTTTCGTCTTTAACACTATGACCCTCTGCATTTGAATATTAGGGTAGTGCAAGGCAACTGTTTCAGCGCCTTCAAGGACCGTTTGAGGAAGAGACTCTCAAGACACACTTTGAGAAAATAATATTCCTTGGACAAAAATTGCATCAAACTTGTAGAAAGGTTAGTATTATGTTTTGGAAAACATCATAAATGATTGTTGGTTGGGATGTAATATGTTTGTAATCTTTAGCTTACATGTATTCCCTTCAAACCTTTTGAGCTTTGACTGTCAATATATGAAGAATTACATGCATTAACGAAATGAAATTAATGTTACTAGAATAATTGCTAAGAATGCTTTCATAAAATAATTTTTGTTTTTTTACTTCATTAGTAATTTTAATAGAAATTGTCCAAGTGTCAATGTCCTAACAACTTTGTTTTCCATCAGAGTGGTAATAGTGAATAGGTAATTCACTACCCCCTCTGTCCCGAAATGATAAGCATATTTTGTATCAGGAAAGTCAAATTTCACAAACTGACTAAAGATTAGTCAAATACAAGTTTAGGACATAAACTTGCATCAATATATTTGTATTCAAAGTTCTTTGAGATGATATTGATATTTTAGTAGTTGACAACATATTGTAAGGGTCGATCTATTTTGTATGACTTTTCCCTGTTCAAAATGCGCTTATCATTCTGGGATGTAGGGAGTACTCCCCCCGTCCCAAAAATAACTATCGTTCTTGTTTCCCGAGGGAGTATTTGCTAATTATTTTGTACTTTTTTTTGCTATTGCTTGATACTTGACAGACCATTTCCTTACAGTTAGTTAGGACAACTCAACTGTTTTAGGCATGTGCAAGGAAAGTAATGGAGATGCTAATTGCATGTTCTGGTGCATTGATGGATTAATCTCCCCTCTGTGCGATATGTACCTTTATTATTCTATGGAGCTACTAAATCATTATCCCTACTTACATTGAAAACAAAATGTTTGCATGGATATCGGTATGAATATAGGCTCTTATATTATATTATTGATAGTTTCTTATGGTGATTTATGTTTTTTTTTTCTAGAATGTATAATTCAATTTGCAGTCCAATTCAAATTACAGTCAATCATGCACTATATGATTTAACCATACTTATGTTTGGTTAATTTGAAAGTTTTGAATATTTCAGTTTGCAATCCAAGTCAGGTCACAACCCATCATGTGATGTATGGTGAAACCAAACCATGTTTCTTTTTCTGAATATTCACATTTACTCCCTCCGTCCTGTAATATAGTGTATTCTAGTGATTTTTAGAGAAATTAAGAGATTAAAGGGTGTGATTTTTCTGAATATAGTGTATTCTAGTGATTTTTCTGAATATTCACATTTACTCCCTCAGTATGATCAACATTAATACACTATATTAGTAAAACCTGTAATATGGAGAACCAGGTCTTGGGTGACATGTTTACTTATATATAAAAAATAATAATGTAACGATACAATAGCACAAAATTTTGATACGAGCTGATGGGATAAGTCTCATGTGTTAGTCTTTGTGGGGCTGTGCTGGTCACATGGTCTTTGTGGCTGCATGGTCTGTTTTTAGGACAGCATAGGACAGCATCTTAGACTAGAGGACAGCATCTTAGACTAGCATCTAGAGGACAGCATCTTAGCATCTAGGACAACATCGTAGACTAGCATCTTAGACTAGCATATTGGCATATGCTTGGCTGGCTAGCAGCCTATAAATATGTATCCCCAACCCCTCGGGTTGGCATGACATTTGTGTGAGTTTGTGTGAGAAATAAACCAGAAAATTGCCCCAACTCCTAGTGTCATCCTCTCTCGACGAGAGTAAGAATTCTGCTACTACCGAGAGTGAGAGTTCAACGACTAACACGAGCTTATCCTTTTGTACTCCAAATCCCTGATGTTTTGATGCAATTTTTAAATGCTTGAATACCTCGATTGGGACCGGATGGTATCCCAATCGAGGTATGGAGATGCCTCGGGGACATAGCTATAGTATGGCTAACCAAGCTGTTCAACCATATTTTTCGATCGAACAAGATGCCTGACGAGTGGAGAAGTATATTGGTACCGATCTACAAGAATAATGGGGATATTCAAAGTTGTACTAATTACCGCGGAATTAAGTTGATGAGCCATACTATGAAGCTATGGGAGAGAGTTATCGAGCATCGCTTGAGAGCAATAACGCGGGTCTCTATGAATCAATTTGGTTTCATGCCCGGAAGGTCAACCATGGAAGCCATTTTCTTAATAAGACAAGATATGGAGCGGTATAGGGAGAAGAAGAAGGACCTACACATGGTTTTTATTCACTTGGAGAAGGCTTATGATAAAATACCAAGGAATGTTATGTGGTGGGCTTTGGACAAACATGAAGTCCCAGCGAAGTACGTCGGGCTCATTAAGGACATGTACAACAATGTTGTGACTAGTGTTCGAACAAGTGATGGAGACACGGATGACTTCCCGATTAGGATAGGACTACATCAAGGGTCAGCTTTGAGCCCTTATTTGTTTGCCTTAGTGATGGATGAGGTCACAAGGGACATACAAGGGGACATCCCTTGGTGTATGCTTTTCGCGGACGATGTAGTGCTAATTGATGAAAGTCGGACATGAGTGAATCAGAAACTGGAGTTATGGCGGGAGACTTTGGAGTCCAAAGGTTTTAGACTCGATGAGAACTAAAAGCGAGTATATGAGATGTGACTTGGCACTACTACTCGGGAGGAGGAAGATATTAGTTTGGAAGGTCAAGTAGTGCCTAGGAAGGATACCTTTCGATATTTATGATCAATGCTCTGAGAGAGGCGGGATATTGATGAAGATGTTAGCCATAGAATCAAAGCAGGGTGGATGAAGTGGCGCCAAGCATCTGGTGTCCTATGTGACAAAAGGGTACCACAGAAGCTAAAAGGCAAGTTTTATAGGACGGCGATTAGACCTACTATGTTGTATGGTGCAGAATGTTGGCCTACGAAAAGACGACATGTTCAACAGATAAGTGTCGCAGAAATACATATGTTGCGTTGGATTTGCGGTCATACAAGAAGGGATCGAGTTCGGAACGATGATATACGTGATAGATTAAGGGTAGCACTAATTAAAGAAAAGCTTGTCCAACACCGGTTGAGATGGTTTGGACATGTCCAACGGAGACCTCCAGAGGCACCGGTGCGTAGTGGAATCCTAAGCTAGGATAGTAACGCGAAGAGAGGCAGAGGAAGACCGAAGTTGATTTGGGTAGAGGCAATAAAAGGAGACTTGAAAGGATGGAATATACCCAAAGACTTAGCCTTAGATAGGAGTGCTTGGAAAACAGCTATTCACGTGCCTGAACCTTGATTGCTTCTGCTGGGTTTCAACTCTAGCCTACCCCAACTTGTTTGGGACTTAAAGGCTTTGTTGTTGTTGTTGTTGTTGTTGTGAGTATTTAAGTTATTTTGAGAACTTTACCTATAATGTTTCTTCCAATCTGGAACTCATTTTTTGTATCATTGGTACTTGCTCACAGTGATATTCATGTGTCTACATCTTTTTCTTATTAGGGTGAGATCCAGGAACTGAGGCAAATAAATCCGCTTCATACTTCTCATGTTTTTGCACTTTCTCAAGCATGTCCAGGCAACTTACCTGGTGTCATTTTGACGTATGAACTATCCACTTTGAAGTTTGAACTACCTCTCTTATCTAATTCTGTTATGAACTTACAACTTCCTATATTGTCCATATCAAACTGCCATGTTTTTTCTAATTTTAATCTTGTTATAGGCCACTTGACCTTTGTGATGGACCTTCGAACTCGGATGCACTTTCTATTGGTTATCCAGGATCTCACACAAGTGGGTTAGCTCTTCCAAACAATAATTGTTCTGTTGGTCCTACTCTTCCCACTTCAAATATGAACGTGAGATTACCAGGTTCTCCTGGTATGGTTTTAGGAAGCAATTCGCCATTGCCTTTGAATGCTCCCTCTAGGTAAATGGTTGATTATCCTCTATAGCTGATATGCAAAACATTCCGTGTTCATATTTGTTTCTGCAAAATCTCTATTGCAGGGATGCTCAGAGGTTTGGTGTACCTAGACCAACCTCAATACAGGGTGATGAGCAATCAAGAATTCATTATAACCAGATGGTCAATGGCAGAAACCTTCAGCAACCTGGAGTTCCTGTTCCTGGTGTGTTGCCATCTGGCGTTGATCGGGGTGCCCGAATGATGCCACCCACACACGGTGTTGGAATCATGACTGGACTAAATCGAGGTACACCTGTTACTAGGCCGGGTTTTCGAAGGCTTGGTTCTCCTGGAAACATGTCACCCAACAATGGTCAAGGCTTAAAAAATACAGTAAACGTTCATCCTGGTGCCATACCGGGACCTGGAAGTACTATGTTGAGGCCACGTGACCCAATGCAGATGCTTAGGGTAAGCACTCAATTTGATATGCATTAAGATTTAATTTCTTCATATATTCTGCTGTGTTTATAATTTGGTAAGTATTCAATTTGATTTACACATGCACGCATCCACGCCCGTCCACTCTGCTATGGCAAAGTTACATTTGTGCCTTTTAATCCAAAAAATAGCATGACCAGAACTACCGCCAGCTTTAACCCATATACATCTCCAAAAGCCAGACACCAAAGTTGGCTCTCTTCATAAACCTGTCTAAGAACTCTCTGCATGATAGGACCGGCCATTGAACGCAGCCTCATTGCGGTGCTTGCACAACATCCATGCAACCAAGGTGATCAGAGAATTCAGGCCTAGCTTGAAATCACCAGGGATCAACTTGCTTATCCTTGACCACCATCCAAAGAAGTCCCTGTCCAGTGGAGATGGCAAGAGGTCTTGGTGATCATAGTGACACAGGGTGGGAGACCACACTTGTCTAGAGAAAACACATCCACATAAAATATGCTGGATGGTTTCAGCTTCCTGATCACAGAACAAGCATTTAGCCAGGTGAAGCAAACCTCTACGGGCCAGCTTGTCCGCCATGCAACATATATTTTACGCCACTGATTAAAAGAAAATTCATCACTTCTTAGGTAGAGGTGCCCATGATTTCCAAATTAGCTGCCGTGGTTCAAAACTGACCGACCCAATAGAGAGAGCTATATACGCGGACTTGGTTGAGTGCTGGCCAGAGTTTGTGAATCACCAGTGATGCGTTGAAAATGTAGCAACTGTAGTTCCGAAAACTTGAATAATTGGAGCAAGGGAGACAATTCGCGTGATTAGCGAATTATTGAATATTCACGGGAAATTAGCTCCCTTAATCCGTTTTGAATATTATGACCAACTTCATGCCATTGCCATGGCTTCAGCATTATCCTAAATGGTAAACAGTAAACAGTCAGTCACCCTTTGTTTAGCATTTAGGCCGTTTAGATGGTGTTTAAATAGAGTTAAATGGACTAAACGGTTTTGTATAGTAGCACTAAAATAATATGCATATTTTTGTATGTAAGAAGCCCAATAGTCTAGAAAATTTACATAATTATGCACGTAAAATATAAGTGTTCTGCCAATTGATTTTTTTGGAATAAAACTAAATCCAACTCCACCTCATATACCTACGATGTTAATTAGTTGGATGTCAAATGTGATAGTTGTAATCCTTCTATCGAGTAAATAGTGAATTAAATGGTCGTTTAGCTCATTTAATCATGTTTAACTCAATTCTATTTAGACGGTTTTTAATGGTTTAAACGGGTTTAAATGGTCCAACCATTTAATTCACTGTTTAGGGCCTAAATGACAGGGTTGGCCTTTGTTTAGGCGAACAGGTGGGTTTAATGAAAAATGGTTAAATTAGGATAGCAAAGTCTAACAAAGTAATAATAGAAGTAGAAAATACTGAAAGCACTTGCAGTTAGACCTGAGCATTTTGCGGGGCCGGGCCGGGTTCGGGCCGGACCGAAAAAAGGGCGGTTATTTTGGGCCAAAAAAATCCCAAACATGACCGTCCCACTAGGCAAGCTGGGCCTCATTTTTGGGCCGGGCTTGGGCCGCCGCGCATTTTACAGTGTAAAATAGCTAAAAGCAGCATTTCAGGCCGGGCTCGGGCAAAGAAAGTTTTTTCTGGGCAACGAGATCTGTGCCCAGGCCTTGTCCACTAAGGTTCGTGGGCAGGCCAAAACCCGTCGGGCTCGGGCCGGGCTGGGTCGGGCTCAATTTGCTCAGGTCTACTTGCAGTGATGTAGCCAGAGAACAAACTAATAGGGGAGCAACACTTAATCTTCTTCCTTGAAGGGCTTGAAATATTGTCATATGTTAGTGGGACATCAAAGGAAAATGGTCAAATGCTGGTATGTTGAGCCGCAAAATTTTGTGATCCCCTTATTTATCATTCTGTTCTTATAATCTCTTTGAATTGATAATATTCCTCTCCATCATGTTATGAAATTTTTGTCATTGTGTGTGCTCATGATGGTGGCGGCCTATGTTTGGTAGGAAGTAACGTGATAACAGGACGATGACCAACCTTGTGGCGTTGTGTCCAATGGAATTACCTAAGGATGACGCATTCAATAATTAAGTTTAGTTGAGATATGTATGTTGTGTAGTGAGGAGGGTAAGGTGTGGCAGTGAGTGAAGGAAAGCTTATTCAACACTGGATCTGTGGTTATAGAATAATGGATCAAATCCAAAATGATGATGTATGTGGACATGGTGCGGTGGGGGTTGGGTGGTTGGCGTTTGAGTGGATTGAAGAAAAGATTCTCCAATGTTATTTCGAGACGGGTTCTGAATTTCGTACATATCCGGCGAAGCCTCCAGACATGGGAAGAAGCATTTAATAGATATTTGAGCTGATGGAATATATCCAAAGAACTGTATTTACATAGGAGCGTGATGAAACAGCAGTTCCTATGCTAGATCCATGACCGAGGATATTAAGATTTGTTACTACTATTACTAACTTGCTTGAGACAAAAAGGTTTACTGGTTACTATTGTGTCAAATAAAAGGCTTAGTTGCTGTTGCGACATTAATTTCGTTTGGCAAGGAAAGTTATGGATAAATGAAGAGTTTTCATTTGTGCTTTTTTGCGGTTACTAATACTATCGTCTGTTTCTTGTAGCCTGGCCAGAATTCAGAAGAGCATAGACAGATGATAATGCCAGAGTTTCAGTTACAAGTCTCACAGGGAAATAATCATGCTGTGCATTTCAGCGGTCCACCATATTCCAACACTGGGGCATCTTCACCTGTTCAATCTTTCCCTGTCCAGCAGTCCCAACCACATCAGATGCCACAACAATCACACATGTATGGAAACACACACCTTCCTCATACCCAAGGAACAAACCAGTCAAATCCACAGCAGCAGCAGGCTTATGCTATGCGCTTGGCTAAAGAGAGACATATTCAACAAATGATGCCCCAACAACAGCGCCCACTATCTGGAGCCAGTGCAGTGTCAGCTGTACAGAATGGCTCACAGATGCAACAGCAGAGCCAAGGATCTGCAACCGGTGTAATCCCAGTTACACAGCCACAGCGTAAGCAGCAACATCCTGCACAAAATGCACAAGGTAACCCAATGCTTCCCCATCAGCCTTCAGCCGCAACTTCACATAAACAGAAGAAGCAACAGGGCCAGCAGCAGCCTAGACAAAATCAACAGCAACGAAATCAAGGCAGTCAGCAAGCTAAGCTTATGAAGAGCTTAGGCCGAGGGAACATGGTGCACCAGAGTCCTGTGGATGTTACTCAAGCCAGTGGCATTTCAACAAACTGTAAAAATCAAGTTCCTGATAAGAATGTAATGCAACAGGCTCCAGGGCATTTTGTTGGTAGTAAAGGATCAATCCCATCGATACCTCAACCTGGGAATCAACCAAAGGTATACACTTCTCAGATGCCTTTGTCTCCAATGCAGACACCAGATATTAGTAATCAGGGCACAGTCAAGGGTTCTTCCAACCATACCTTGTTAACTTCCCAACAAGGTTCACTTCATTCACCTTTACAGTTGGCACAGCAACAGCAGCAGCAACTACGGTACATGAATCCATCACAGAATAATATTCAAAGGTTGATAATGCAACAAAATCGTCATGCGAACACAGATGGCAGGATTGAATTACCTGTTGACCAAGTACAACATAACCAGGTAATGTCATCTGCCTCACTTGCAAGAAGTACAGATTCGGGTAGCCCAGGCATCTCATCTATGAGCCAGCGGAAACAAGAGTCAGCCCATGACCCAAGTGCAATTACCTCAAGCTCGCAGCTAGCTAGCTCACCTCAAGACACCTTTGTTGGAAGTGATAAGCTGTTGCCATCATCCAGCCAAAGCAGGCTGCAAAGGCAAATGTCTGGTGGTGTGCCTATACATGGACATGGCATTGGTGGCCAGGTGCAGCTACAACAGTCTCGGCAGCAACTGCAGTCTCAGCAGCAGCAGCAGCAGCAGCAGCAGCAGCAGAGACCTGTTGTTCAAGGCGGTGTATATGCTCACCCCTCAAATTCCGGACCAGGATGATGATGAACCACACTGGGCCCGTATTTCTGAAGAGCATCCCTTCCCCTTGTAAAGTTACTTGTACAGGTATCTACTATTCAGACATGCTCCTTGATGTTTGCCACAATTTTGTTTGCATTTAAGTTATACCAGAATTTTGAGTTAAAACCCTGAGCATATTTTGACTAAGTTCTCATGGGTATATCAATCTGCTCTTGCACCCTCCCACCCCCAACTTTCTGCCTAATTATTTGTTTCTCAAGCTTTATGGCACCAAATGAATTTTCTTCTGTTTTTTTTTTTTGCCTTATTTGCTGCTGGAGCCATCTATAAGCGGCAGGGCCTCTGTTTTCAGTTTTCTGATAACCTTCCTTATCTTTTTGTAGGCGTCCGTGCTGTGGGAGTTGTGCGGATGATAGTGCTCTTTATTCTCAACTTTGAGCTAATTGTAGCCTCCTCAGTGTCAGGTAGATAATTATTTCTCGTACCATTTTGGCGCCACACTGCTACCTTCCATGTAGTTTGACCCTAGATTGCTGGAGGTGGTTCTTGTGAGGGCAAATTCCTGCCGTTGTCAAATTGTAACCCGACACTGGGCCCAGTTGTATATTTTGCCTTTTGAGGTCCATGTTGTTAGAGACGATCTCTTTTGTATAAGCCTGTATATTCAGCTCACAAGTCAATGAATGCAAAAGAAAAGCCTTTCTTTGCGTCAAACCAGATCCTGTTGTTTCTACTTTTCCAGTTTCTTGAGTCCTGCTTTGCGCCGATAAGTAAATGGAAATAAACCCTCACCTGGTGTTATTGGTTCAGTAATCCTATTGTCCACACAATGGTTGGTTATATCCTCAGCTGTCCTGTGGTCTATAAGCTGGTGGTGGTGAAGCTGTGAAATTTAATCCTACTAAGCTGGTGGTAATTCTACTTTTAGGCTTTGTTTGGATGCCTATGTATCCACATTAGTCCATGTGTGTTGGAAACTAAATTCGTCACCAAACCACTCCATCCATGTGTGTTGGAGTGATTTGGTGTAGAATTTAAACTAAATTTCACACTAAATCACTCCAACACACCTGAATTGAGGTAGATACATGAACATCCAAACGAGCCCTTGAGTGCTGCTGCTACTGGTATTTCTGCTCGATCCAGTACGGACTGGCTATTGATCCCGGGGTGGTTTATTGACTGAGATGGCAAAGCCGGTTCAGTATAGGCTAAGACTAGCAAAAAAACATCACAGCGTTCAGATGTGGTACATCCACAAGAAGTGCCTAACCTCAAGATGCTAAACATTCCACTAAACTGGATACAGACGCCAACCTGAGAACACTGTCTCCCACATCCCACAAGACAGTCCTAGCTTCACCAAGTTGATCCATAGTCCTACCTGCTGGAGGCCTCTCCTCGGAGGATAAACTCTCCGACAGTAAAGCTTGAGCTTAGCAGGTATCTCTTGGATCTTCCGTCGCAGCATTCAGAGACCATAGGTCCTCCAATTTAAATTGGTTCAGGACGTCACACTCACACCTGAGCTGTTTGGATGAATGGTTTTCTTTTTATATTTCTAAAGAAAGTGGGAATTCGAAGCTCCATGATGAGCAGGCGTGGAGGGGAGACGCCGCCAGCGCCAGGTCCCAAGGGACAAAAACCGGTGCGATAATCACTGCTCCCTCCATTACACAGAGAGCGTCGTTTTTTACTTCCAGACATCTTGTCGTCTTATTCAAATATTTTGTATAAATAACATCTATTTTGTTATAACTTATTTTATCATTAGAGATATTTTAATAATAATTTATTTATTTTATAATTTACGTAAAAATTTTAAATAAAACAAACGGTCAAACACGATGTAAAGAGCGTTCTTTTTTTTTTTTTGACGGAGGGAGTAAAGTTGTTGCGTCGAGTTTTCGGTATCGGTAGGATGTGACTTCACATCAGTCGAGAGAGAGTCGAGAGAGCCAAAAACCAATCACCAATGGCACTGAAGTGCCGTGTGATTGGCGCCGCCTTGTGTGTTCTTCGGGGCGGGAGGGGGAAAATCGGGACGGATTGGTCTCGCATCACAGCGACCGCATCTCAACTCAAAGCCAACACGGAAAGCAACCAAAGGCACCGTGAACTCAGCTCGTCTTGGCGACGGATCCAGGCAGAGGCACCAACTCGCACAGGCAGAGGCACCCCCCCAAAAGCTCCTCGAGGCTGATCCTGCGATCCCGTTCCCTGCCGCCATCGAGATCGGTTTGATGTTGTTGTTTAACAGCCCAATGCGCCCTTAAAGCGGCGCACGAATGCCACGAGCCACCGAGGCGGCACCAGCGCCGCAGGCTTTCCAGTTCACCCCAGGGCGCCACCCGTGAGCCATGGACTCCCGCTTCGGCTTCCGTTTCTCCTCCGGCGACGTGGTAGGTGCCAGGTGGCTGCAATGTCCACCCTTCTCGGGGCGAGTATCCCCGACGCAGCGGGTTCTTGATAGATCTTTTCTCAGGATTCAACTCATGTCTCATGGTTCCTCGCCTGTTTTCCTCGCGGGCAGCGGTCCGGGAGCTCGCTGTCGCTAGGTGAGCGCCTCTGCGCGGTCTTTTTCCCCTTCATCGCCATCGCCGAGGCCGTTTTCTTCGCCTTCACCAACTGCCTCGCGGACCTCTGCCCCGACTTCAGCTCCTCGGCCTCCGGCGCGGGCGCGTCCTCCTCCGCCGCCAAGAACAGTCGGAGCAACCATCACCACCACCACCACCACTACAGACCTTTCCTACGCCGCGCCGCTGCGGGTGGATGGACCTCCCTCAACCTCCGCCAGCTCGCACGCCTCGCCGACGAGTCCCGATGCTGTAAAAAGATCGATCCAAGCCTACCCCACCTTTTCTTTCCTGCTTCCTTGGTTTCTCCGCCTCCATCTCGCAATGCCGTCTCATCTGACTCTGTTTCGATTGAAATTGAATTGAACCGAAGTCTCCGTGAACGAGGTGGAGGCGCTCTTCGAGCTCTACAAGAAGATCAGCTGCTCCATCATCGACGACGGCCTCATCCACAAGGTGCATCCAACAAAGTCCCTCTTCAATTCCTGTATTTACCGTGCATATTCTTGCCATTCATGACGTGTTTTGGGGTTGATTTGAACATCGATTTCTTTGAATGAAACATTCCTTGCTGCACTTGGAAGATGGGATTTTCTTTTTTTGTTCCTTTAGGCTGCGGACAATTGGCTTGGCTCTAAATATGATAGAAATGGTTACTTAAGACCTGGGCTGGGATAGTGACACTTTGTCGTCTCTGCATGATTGAAGAGTATATTAGGTCATTGAGGGTCTGCACAATTTAGTACGGAGATTAATCTTGAATTGTTGGATGACATGCAATGGATTGGATTATTTCGTGAGGGCTGGATTTGTCAAGACATTGTCATATTCTTCTTTTGAGTTGATTGGAGACTGTCGTCTGACAGGCACACATGACAGCATTATAAAATTTTGTTTGACAGCCCATGAGGATTGCTTGCCTGAATTTTCCCATGTTGCGTGTGCCACTAGGTCTTAGGATAGCACCTGCATCTCGGTATGCTTGGTTGTCATGTTCCTTCCTCTGCCATACCAAGGTTGTAAGTTTGATTCGTGAAGCATGGAGTCACTTTGTCATCCCTGCATGCATGATTGAAGAGTAGTAGGTCATTGAGGGCGACGTTTAATTTAATACATAGATCCATGTTCAATTGTTGCACTGCACGCAATGGACTGGATTATTTCCTGAGGGTTGGATTATTTAAGACAATATCATATTCTTCTTTTTGATGAGTCAATTGGAGACTGTCATGTGACAGGCACACATGAGTGCATTATAAAATTTTTGTTTAACAGCCCATAGGATCACAGGTCTGAATTTTCCCATGTTGCGTGTACCATTAGGTCCTAGGATAACACCATGTTCCTTCCTCTGCCATACCAAAGGTTGAAGGTTTTGATTGGTGAAGCATGGAATGACGTTTTTTAATTAAGCTAACACAGCAGCAACCTTTTTCGTGACTGATGCAGTTCAAAGTCAGAGAAATATTTTCCACTCTTATATTTTCAGCAGCATCTTCTATGCGTGCATATTAGCATGTTGGGGCGCGTAATAGTCAAATTAGAAACAAAAAAAAAGAGTTGAATGCCCTTTTTTTGCATACAACTAGAGGAATGGTCATAATGTCATATTAATTTTTTCTTAACCATTTCACTGTTGAATGGTTCTTCAGGAAGAACTCCAGCTGGCATTGTTCAAAACTCCAAGTGGCGAGAATCTTTTTCTTGATAGGGTGAGTCTTTGCTATGCTTTTCTCTTTGTATTTATTTATAAAACACGTCCTAACTACGCCATACACATACCTTTCCGTTTCTCCCCTGATTAGCCTCAAAATATTTACATTGCATGCTGCCAGCATAGATAATGACATGAAACTAAGATTGTCTCCATAATTCAGGTTTTTGATTTGTTTGATGAGAAGAAAGATGGTGTGATCGAGTTTGATGAGTTTATTCATGCTCTAAGTGACTTCCATCCCTTGGCACCAATGGAAGGCAAGATTGATTGTATGTCTGCTAATTGCAGAAACTATGGTCAATATATATAATAATATATGTAGGCATATTGATATTTATATTTGTAGCTACCCTTTTTGTTTGTTTCAGTTGCATTCAGGTTGTATGACTTGAGGCAAACTGGGTTTATTGAACGTGAAGAGGTAAGCTTGCAAAGATGTTCTGTCTCTATCCATACCTTTTATGTGGATTGTTTTCTAGTATAATAATCTCAGTAAAGCAGTTCATTGCCATCACTTGTCTTATAGGTTAAGCAAATGGTAATTGCTTTTTTGAAGGAATCTGATGTGAAATTATCAGATGACCTACTTGAGGCCATTATAGATAAGGTAGTGAATAATCAACTGGAATGTCTTGAGGGGTGGGGGGGGGGGGTGGCGGTTGTGTTTGTGTGTACTATGCTGATTTTGTTTTTACTCAATTTCCCAGACATTTGAAGATGCTGATGCCGATAAGGATGGAAAAATAAATCAAGAAGAGTGGAAGGATTTTGTGTTACGCCACCCTAACCTGTTGATGAACATGACACTACCTTATCTGAGGTTTGCATCTCATCTCCTGATCTTTATGAAAAATTAGGTTGGCATGATGTTCTGTCAAACATATTAATGTATGCAGAATCCTTGCAAAAAAATAACTGCACAGAAAAATTGATTCATAATTACAAGACAGAACTTCAGCATACCTTACTTTGCTGGTTTCTTGCCCTAAAAAATTCAGCGACATCACAACCGTCTTCCCTAGTTTCGTCTTCAACACAGCAGTGGAAGATTAATCAGTATTGGGTTTGCTTGAGCTGCACAAGATTCCTGAACCCTGATGACTGTTGGCTGCCAATTATGTCAACGTGCCGCATTCAACCACTGAGAAGCAGATGTGTAATCCATCATGAGCACTTGCTGGTGATATATCACTTCTGATGGCTGAACATCAAGGCAGCCACCTGAGCATGACTCCTGCAATAAACTAAGGCTCGTCCACTCCGGGATGGTGGATCGGCAACGTAACTTACCTGTTATAATCTATTGTTGCCGTTTTTGTCCAGCAATACATTGAGTTGGTAATTAACTGTAAATACAGCTAGCATTCACTCAGTAGACAGAAATTCAGGAACGTGTACATACATACGATAGATTTTATGAGGAAATCGAAAAGTTCCTGGTATGCCAGCCATATCTGAAATCAGCGGTTGTTTCTTACAGTAGTTTTCTTGCTCAATGCTATCTTCTGAACACAAACACTTGTCAAGACTGCACTGGCCACTGGGTACCATGATCGGGAATCTGTCGGTCAGTTGTCCGAACTTTCTTTTTCGCTGGCAACAGGTAGATGGATGAAGTTGATGAAATTGTTAATGACCGTTGTTAAAGAAATGGATAAGGGACCTTTCGCTTCTGTTTTGATTATGCACTTGGTTTTTCCTAGTGGTGCCAAGGAAGCTGATGCGTATGAGTTTTCTGAATTCTGAATTGGTAATGATAGCTGCAACTGGATGCCAAGCGAGCTGCCAGATGGTTCCTTGACATATCCTCTGCCACCTCATCAGGACATATCCTCTCCCACCTGTGATCAACGACAGAATAGCCTTATTTTATCAGAAAAACAAGTACTAGGATGTAGGAGTATGTGATGCTCCTTGAGTGATGCAATGGCCATTTGTGTCGGTAATTTGCAAGGGACAGCAAGAGTGACCTCATGGCTTTCCTGATGCCAATCATGTCGGCTAAGGATAAGATTGCGTGCGGAGGTTGATGGTTCAGCCGTCCACAGCCACAACCTAGGTGGACCCCTTCACAAGGTTGCTAGTCACGTTAGATCTAACCAAAAAAATAAAATAAAATAGCTAGTTCAATGATACAAACACCAACGACAAATTATTGGTCTCGCTGCACATATATAGACATGTTTTGCTACTATTATCTAGATATATACTTAATATTAGTATAAAGAATACTCTAGATTATAAGATGTTTTAGTTTTTCTAGATTATTTTTACTATATATTTAGACATAGTGTTTATTTAAGTGCATAGTATCTAGAAAACTCAAAATGTCTAATAATTTGAAATAGAGGGAGTATTATTTTCTTTTCATTCGCTAAGATCACGCCTAATCCAATATGTATCTCTTATGTGTCGATATTGTGTCCGTGCCTTAAAAGTTCTATTGGATGTGTGACGAGATCCTAACATATGTTTATATTAAGCCTCGGAATCAAAGGTTCCCCACCAAAAGACCCCCTGACCTACCCTTCTAGGATCGCTCGGGGGCTATACCCATTGGGTATGCTCACACGCACCCTCAGGTCAGAGGATCGGGCCGAGCTTGAGTAAGCTTGCCGCCTCTGCTTAGCGCTCGGGGGCTCGTCCGAGCCCGAGGCTCCCGATCGACGGGACTCTGGACCTAATCCTAGGCCTCCCCCCGGTCTTCGGCGCCAGCTAAGGCCCGGGCACAAGAAGACACGCCCCGAGCCATGAGGGCTCGGGGGCTCCCAGACGCCGCCCCACGAGCACGACGCTGTCAACCACTCCTCTGACAAGGTCACGCACAGGGCGTGACACAAGAAGACAAGCTTCTCCGTGGCCTCCAGGGGCTCTCGGACCCTCACGTCAGCCCCTCGAGCCAGCCTCCTTCGCCACTAAGAAGTCTCCAGAAGGCGCACCTGGGAAGGCCGGTCGAAGCCGACACAGCCTGACACTTGGTGTGTCAGGCAGCCGGACGATGCCCAGAGCTTCTTCGGCTCCATGACATCGCCATGATCCACAGAGTGCCGCTGCAAGACCCTGATGGACTCCGGCGCATGTAGACCATAGGCTCATCCCCCAAACCGCCATGTACCTGATCTATCTCGGTATATAAGGGATAGGTAGGAACCTAGAGGCGCGGAGGACGATCCGAGACAGATCATCCCATTCCTCACCGATCCGCTCCTGCTCGGCACCGAGAGCAGAACAACCCAGAGAGGGGCACCGAGAGCTCCTCCACCGCACCCGTCGTCTTCCTCCTCTTCGACGTGGGGAAGACTCCACCGGCGGCGAGACAACCTTAGGATTAGCACCGAGCTAACGTCCTACCAAATCTCCCTTTTTCTCCTGTACACTCTGTTGTAACCCCCACTTCTGGGTGCTCTTGAGTATAAGGATCATCTGCCGCGGGACGTAGGGCACTGATTAACAGCCCATAGGATCACATGTCTGAATTTTCCCATGTTGCATGTACCATTAGGTCCTAGGATAACACCATGTTCCTTCCTCTGCCATACCAAAGGTTGATGGTTTTGATTGGTGAAGCATGGAATGACGTTTTTTAATTAAGCTAACACAGCAGCAACCTTTTTCGTGACTGACGCAGTTCAAAGTCAGAGAAATATTTTCCACTCTTATATTTTCAGCAGCATCTTCTATGCGTGCATATTAACATGTTGGGGCGCGTAATAGTCAAATTAGAAACAAAAAAAAAGAGTTGAATGCCCTTTTTTTGCATACAACTAGAGGAATGGTCATAATGTCATATTAATTTTTTCTTAACCATTTCACTGTTGAATGGTCTTCAGGAAGAACTCCAGCTGGCATTGTTCAAAACTCCAAGTGGCGAGAATCTTTTTCTTGATAGGGTGAGTCTTTGCTATGCTTTTCTCTTTGTATTTATTTATAAAACACGTCCTAACTACGCCATACACATACCTTTCCGTTTCTCCCCTGATTATCCTCAAAATATTTACATTGCATGCTGCCATCATTGATAATGACATGAAACTAAGATTGTCTCCATAATTCAGGTTTTTGATTTGTTTGATGAGAAGAAAGATGGTGTGATCGAGTTTGATGAGTTTATTCATGCTCTAAGTGCCTTCCATCCCATGGAACCAATGGAAGGCAAGATTGATTGTATGTATGCTAATTGCAGAAACTATGGTCAATATATATAATAATATATGTAGGCATATTGATATTTATATTTGTAGCTACCCTTTTTGTTTGTTTCAGTTGCATTCAGGTTGTATGACTTGAGGCAAACTGGGTTTATTGAACGTGAAGAGGTAAGCTTGCAAAGATGTTCTGTATCTATCCATACCTTTTATGTGGATTGTTTTCTAGTATAATAATCTCAGTAAAGCAGTTCATTGACACCACTTGTCTTATAGGTTAAGCAAATGGTAATTGGTATTTTGATGGAATCTGATGTGAAATTATCAGATGACCTACTTGAGGCCATTATAGATAAGGTAGTGAATAATCAACTGGAATGTCGGCAGGGGTGGGGGGTGTGGGGGGGTCTTTGTGTTTGTGTGTACTATGCTGATTTTGTGTTTACTCAATTTCCCAGACATTTGAAGATGCTGATGCCGATAAGGATGGAAAAATAAATCAAGAAGAGTGGAAGGATTTTGTGTTTCGCCACCCTTACCTGTTGAAGAACATGACACTACCTTATCTGAGGTTTGCATCTCATCTCCTGATCTTTATGAAAAATTAGGTTGGCATGATGTTCTGTCAAACATATTAATGTATGCAGAATCCTTGCAAAAGAATAACTGCACAGAAAAAGTGATTCATAATTACAAGACAGAACTTCGGCATACCTTACTTTGCTGATTTCTTGCCCTAAAAAATTCAGGGACATCACAACCGTCTTCCCTAGTTTCGTCTTCAACACAGCAGTGGAAGATTAATCAGTATTGGGTTTGCTTGAGCTGCACAAGATTCCTGAACCCTGATGACTGTTGGCTGCCAATTATGTCAACGTGCCGCATTCAACCACTGAGAAGCAGATGTGTAATCCATCATGAGCACTTGCTGGTGATAAAAATATCACCTCTGATGGCTGAACATCAAGGCAGCCACCTGAGCATGACTCCTGCAATAAACTAAGGCTCGTCCACTCCGGGATGGTGGATCGGCAACGTAACTTACCTGTTATAATCTATTGTTGCCGTTTTTGTCCCGCAATACATTGAGTTGGTAATTAACTGTAAATACAGCTAGCATTCACTGAGTAGACAGAAATTCAGGAACGTGTACATACATACGTTAGATTTTATGAGGAAATCGAAAAGTTCCTGGTATGCCAGCCATATCTGAAATCAGCGGTTGCTTCTTACAGTAGTTTTCTTGCTCAATGCTATCTTCTGAACACAAACATTTGTCCAGACTGCACTGGCCACTGGGTACCATGATCGGGAATCTGTCGGTCAGTTGTCCGAACTTTCTTTTTCGCTGGCAACAGGTAGATGGATGAGGTTGATGAAATTGTTAATGACCGTTGTTAAAGAAATGGATAAGGGACCTTTCGCTTCTGTTTTGATTATGCACTTGGTTTTTCCAAGTGGTGCCAAGGAAGCTGATGCGTATGAGTTTTCTGAATTCTGAATTGGTAATGATAGCTGCAACTGGATGCCAAGCGAGCTGCCAGATGGTTCCTTGACGTATCCTCTGCCACCTCATCAGGACATATCCTCTCCCACCTGTGATCAACGACAGAATAGCCTTATTTTATCAGAAAAACAAGTACTAGGATGTAGGAGTATGTGATGCTCCTTGAGTGATGCAATGGCCATTTCTGTCGGTAGTTTGCAAGGGACAGCAAGAGTGACCTCATGGCTTTCCTGATGCCAATCTTGTCGGCTAAGGATAAGATTGCGTGCGGAGGTTGATGGTTCAGCCGTCCACAGCCACAACCTAGGTGGACCCCTTCACAAGGTTGCTAGTCACGTTAGATCTAACCAAATAAAATAAAATAAAATAGCTAGTTCAATGATACAAACACCAACGACAAATTATTGGTCTCGCTGCACGTATATAGACATGTTTTGCTACTATTATCTAGATATATACCTAATATTAGTATAAAGAATACTCTAGATTATAAGATGTTTTAGTTTTTCTAGATTATTTTTACTATACATCTAGACATAGTGTTTATTTAAGTGCATAGTATCTAGAAAACTCAAAATGTCTAATAATTTGAAATTGAGGGAGTATTATTTTCTTTTCATTCGCCAAGATCACGCCTAATCCAATATGTATCTCTTGTGTCGATATTGTGTCCGTGCCTTAAAAGTTCTATTGGATGTGTGACGAGATCCTAACATATGAGTATATTAAGCCTCGGAATCAAAGGTTCCCCACCAAAAGACCCCCCGACCTACCCTTCCAAGATCGCTCGGGGGCTATATCCATTGGGTACGCTCACGTGCACCCTCAGGTCAGAGGATCGGGATGAGCCTGAGTAAGCTTGCCGCCTCTGCTCAGCGCTCGGGGGCTCGCCCGAGCCCGAGGTTCCCGATCAATGGGAGTCAAGACCTAATCCTTGGCCTCCCCCCGGCCTTCGGCGCCAGCCAAGGCCCGGGAACAAGAAGACATGCCCTGAGCCATGAGGGCTCGGGGGCTCCCAGACGCCGCCCCACGAGCACGACGCTGTCAACCACTCCTCCGACAAGGTCACGCACGGGGCATGACACAAGAAGACAAGCTTCTCCGCGCCCTCTAGGGGCTTGGGGGCTCCCGGACCCGCACGTCAGCCCCTCGAGCCGGCGTCCTTCGCCACTTAGAAGTCTCTAGAAGGCGCACCTGGGAAGCCCGGTCCAAGCCGACACAGCCTGATAATCGGTGTGTCAGGCAGCCGGACGATGCCCAGAGCTTCTTCGGCTCCACGACATTGCCACGATCCACAGAGCACCGCTGCAAGACCCTTCTAGACTCCGGCGCATGTAGACCATAGGCTCATCCCCCAAACCGCCATGTACCCGATCTATCTCGGTATATAAAGGATAGGTAAGAACCCAGAGGGGGGGGGGGAAGGACGATCCGAGACAGATCATCCCATTCCTCATCGATCCGCTCCTGCTCGGCACCGAGAGCAGAGGAATCCAGAGAGGGGCACCGAGAGCTCCTCCACCGCACCCGTCGTCTTCCTCCTCTTCGACGAGGGGAAGACTCCAGCGGCGGCGAGACAACCTTAGGATTAGCACCGAGCTAACGCCCTACCAAATCTCCTTTTTTTCTCTACACTCTATTGTAACCCCCAATTCTGGGTGCTCTTAAGTATAAGGATCATCTGCCGCTGGACGTAGGACATCGATTAACAGCCCATAGGATCACATGTCTGAATTTTCCCATGTTGCGTGTACCATTAGGTCCTAAGATAACACCATGTTCCTTCCTCTGCCATACCAAAGGTTGAAGGTTTTGATTGGTGAAGCATGGAATGAAGTTTTTTAATTAAGCTAACACAGCAGCAACCTTTTTCGTGACTGACGCAGTTCAAAGTCAGAGAAATATTTTCCACTCTTATATTTTCAGCAGCATCTTCTATGCGTGCATATTAGCATGTTGGGGCGCGTAATAGTCAAATTAGAAACAAAAAAAGAGAGTTGAATGCCCTTTTTTTGCGTACAACTAGAGGAATGGTCATAATGTCATATTAATTTTTTCTTAACCATTTCACTGTTGAATGGTTCTTCAGGAAGAACTCCAGCTGGCATTGTTCAAAACTCCAAGTGGCGAGAATCTTTTTCTTGATAGGGTGAGTCTTTGCTATGCTTTTCTCTTTGTATTTATTTATAAAACACGTCCTAACTACGCCATACACATACCTTTCCGTTTCTCCCCTGACTATCCTCAAAATAGTTACATTGCATGCTGCCATCATAGATAATGACATGAAACTAAGATTGTCTCCATAATTCAGGTTTTTGATTTGTTTGATGAGAAGAAAGATGGTGTGATCGAGTTTGATGAGTTTATTCATGCTCTAAGTGTCTTCCATCCCTTGGCACCAATGGAAGGCAAGATTGATTGTATGTATGCTAATTGCAGAAACTATGGTGAATATATATAATAATATATGTAGGCATATTGATATTTATATTTGTAGCTACCCTTTTTGTTTGTTTCAGTTGCATTCAGGCTGTATGACTTGAGGCAAACTGGGTTTATTGAACGTGAAGAGGTAAGCTTGCAAAGATGTTCTGTATCTATCCATACCTTTTATGTGGATTGTTTTCTAGTATAATAATCTCAGTAAAGCAGTTCATTGACACCACTTGTCTTATAGGTTAAGCAAATGGTAATTACTATTTTGATGGAATCTGATGTGAAATTATCAGATGACCTACTTGAGGCCATTAAAGATAAGGTAGTGAATAATCAACTGGAATGTCGGCAGGGGTGGGGGGTGTGGGGGGGTCTTTGTGTTTGTGTGTACTATGGTGATTTTGTTTTTACTCAATTTCCCAGACATTTGAAGACGCTGATGCAGATAAGGATGGAAAAATAAATCAAGAAGAGTGGAAGGATTTTGTGTTACGCCACCCTTACCTGTTGAAGAACATGACACTACCTTATCTGAGGTTTGCATCTCATCTCCTGATCTTTATGAAAAATTAGGTTGGCATGATGTTCTGTCAAACATATTAATGTATGCAGAATCCTTGCAAAAGAATAACTGCACAGAAAAAGTGATTCATAATTACAAGACAGAACTTCGGCATACCTTACTTTGCTGATTTCTTGCCCTAAAAAATTCAGGGACATCACAACCGTCTTCCCTAGTTTCGTCTTCAACACAGAAGTGGATGATTAATCAGTATTGGGTTTGCTTGAGCTGCACAAGATTCCTGAACCCTGATGACTGTTGGCTGCCAATTATGTCAACGTGCCGCATTCAACCACTGAGAAGCAGATGTGTAATCCATCATGAGCACTTGCTGGTGATAAAAATATCACCTCTGATGGCTGAACATCAAGGCAGCCACCTGAGCATGACTCCTGCAATAAACTAAGGCTCGTCCGCTCCGGGATGGTGGATCGGCAACGTAACTTACCTGTTATAATCTATTGTTGCCGTTTTTGTCCAGCAATACATTGAGTTGGTAATTAACTGTAAATACAGCTCGCATTCACTGAGTAGACAGAAATTCAGGAACGTGTACCTACATACGTTAGATTTTATGAGGAAATCGAAAAGTTCCTGGTATGCCAGCCATATCTGAAATCAGCGGTTGTTTCTTACAGTAGTTTTCTTGCTCAATGCTATCTTCTGAACACAAACACTTGTCAAGACTGCACTGGCCACTGGGTACCATGATCGGGAATCTGTCGGTCAGTTGTCCGAACTTTCTTTTTCACACATAATTTCTAGGCACAATTCCACTTGATGATGTTATCATTCGCTTTCACAAGATGGAGGACCGTAACTGTAGAGGAACCTTTGGGAGGTAACTACTACTGTGAAAGCTTCTTTTGCTATAATTTGTTGGATGCTATATTGCTATTTTATATTATTCGATATTACGTGTGGTACTGTATTATTGCAACCTTAAAGTTAATATTATAGGTTTGTCCCGACCCTAGTGACAAAAAATCCTGGCTTCGCCCCTGGACCGGAGACACGTACTTTGACACCACCTCGAACAACAATGCTTGCCGCGGTTCTGACCCCGCGACAGCTGACGCACCAGGTAGGGGGTAACGTCAAGTGCGATTCAGGCTCTACGGTGGCCGGAGCCACCCGCCTCGTCGCTGGAGCAGGCGGCGCTGCCCCAGACTGCGGTGTCCGTTTCCCCGACGAGTTCTCCGTCATGGCCGGTGCCTTCGCTTTGGGCTAGGTCCTCAACTTTGGGAGCCTAGCCTATGTCGTCGACTGCTACAGCGAGCTCCACCCACTCAACGAGATCCCGCCAGCGGGTAAGGAGCCCCTGCGCTGCCTTCTCCATCGGGCCTCCTGGGAGCAGATCTTGAGGTTCTGGCCCAGCAGATCTGGCGTGGTTTGGGTCCGCACCGCACCATGTCAGACCGTCGCTAGATGTTCTACATGATAGCCAACGTCCATCACCAGATCGCCACCGGTGAGGTGCTCCTGCCGCTTGACCACTTCTGGTACTACCTCCCAAACCTGCCTTTCGGGATCCAGAATGCGGCGATGTCCTTCTAGGTAGAGCTAGAGCACCTCATCAACCGCAAGGCACCATGGAGTGCCATCCTGTCCGGCGTGGCGGGGACCAACGTCCCGTCGCTGCGCACCTTCCTCAAGATCCTCTCGGGGAACGACCTGGAGTACGACTCTAACGACATCGATTGCTACGCCCCGTCTTGCATGTGCTACCACGTCAATGGTGAGGACTGAAACATCCTCAATTTTCCGCGAAGGGAAAATCCACAGAATGAATTATAATATGATGAAACCAATAGTTAATTCCATCATATTATCATATATCAGTCGATATCACAGTCATACATCGTAAGCTTACAGGAATACAAGATATTACATCACTAGGGAACACACCTATTACAGAGTTAATCTAGCGGAAAACTATTGAGTGAAGGCTTCTCCTTCATGGGTCGTCATCAGAGTTGGCGTAGTGCAGCGTAGATTCCATCTCCGAACCAAACTTGAGCGTAGGCACGAGACCTCCTAATCCTTCTATAGTCAGCATCTCTGAGAAGCAGGAAATCTGCACACCGCCAGATGTGTGCAGGCCATGGTCAGCACCGATGAGCTTTAGTGGAAAAGATAAAACAAGAGGATCTGGCGATCCTAACATTTGGATGTGGTTTGCATCCTTAGCGCATGAGAAGTAAGTAACAGTAGTAATGTAATAATAATGTCCAGTTTTTAACACATTCCCAGCCACACACATCCTCATCCATCCATATCCATCCTCCAACCATCCATCCCAATCCATCTCCACACCACACACCTTATCTCATCTCACACACTCAGGTCGACAGGCCAAATCCCTCTCGGCCTTGTCTCAACGGCCCGCAGCCCCTGGCTCACGGCCGGTAAATACCCCAAACCCTGGAGGGAGAATAGGACTCATCTCCTATCTAGTTTAAGCGAAACCCAGGAAAGGTCCATAGCCGACAAGTCGGCATATGTATCGATCGATCAACCAAACACTCTGTAGAGGTTTTACATACCCACAAGATAGCCATACTCGACGACGCCCCGTCTAGGCAGATTCCGGCCGCTTGCTAGCCTAGAACGATGCCACCCTACCTCTCAGCCCTGGAACATCCCAAGTCTAGTCTGGGATGGCTGATACTGTGAGTCGTAGACAGAGCCGGGGCCCACCGGATGTCAAGAGCCGGTCCACAAGGCCTTCTGAAGTCTCAGAAGGGTGTGGGGGAAAACCGCGCACCCCGTACCTCCTTGCACACGTTCGCCTAGCAGTAGTGGCATCGCTCTACCAAGTAGTCCGACCATCCCGCACCATATAGGGCGAGTGGGATGTAGAGGATTCTCGGTGAATCTGAGTACTAGTAAGTCCTTAGGGGTGACCAAGCCAGAATGTCTTCATCAGGGTTTCCATTTACCGTGCCACCACAGCACCTCCACCCCGGGCTCCACCTCTCCGAGGTTCACACCCAAGGCCACCTCCAATTACCATTTACCCGCCACAGGTATTCCATATCCAAGTGCCCAGGTAGCACCACATGGCAAGACTCGCCCCAGGCTCGTCGTTATTCCAGCTCGGTCGACACAACCCTCACTCTCCACGCACCCAAGACACACGCAGCACGCTCACACACCACCAAGTCCAGTTCCCATAGCCATACGATTCCCATGGGTTCACCACCAGCATCACATCCCCGACATAATGCGAAGTGGAGTTAATAGTAAGTATAGTGGTGTAAAATGCAAGCAAACAGGCAAGTAAGCATATATAAGTGAGCGAATGCGCAAGGCAGGGTGACGTGGTAGAGTGGGTTGCATCAGGGTGATAATGGCTCACGTAGTAGCATGCATCAATATACTAGCAAATGATTAATTATAAAGCGCTAGCAGTTCTAGATATTATGCAATGCCTAATAGGATTCTCTAAAAGAAGGTGTTGCCATGACACCTGCGATGTAGAGGTAGTAGTGGTTTAATTCCCCATTCGTTGGTGTTCCATTAGCGGAGTCACCTCCTCCTGTGTTGACTCCATTCCGCAGTCCTTGTCGTCGTCCTCGTTCTCTTGGTCCGATCATCAGCCACTCCGCGAAGCGACATGCAAGGCAAGAGAACACTCAACACTTGAAAAGACGACAAGACGCAGGAAAATCCAATAACGCCATTGAGACAATAAGAGATACACGGCTTAGCCCTCTCGGCGGTTGTCCTATTTCCTCAGGCCAAGAATCACAGATGGTAGTTTGCTAAGCACAAGCTTAAGTCATGGCCAAGCCGGTATGGCTTTAGGATAGATGGTTTAAGCCAAAGCTTATCCATAGCACACCACGACTCACGATCTTCCGATCCAGTGTCATTGAATCAACGGGGATTGGAAGTCGGGCCCCAAGAAGAGGAACGACGGGGTTCAGCTCTTATGGCCTTATCCCGCAAGTCACAATTGGACATGAGAAGCAAACAAGAACGAATAACACTATTGTGACTTGGCTCCAATGTACTTTGGCTCACCCGCTATGGTAGGAAGCGGTAGCGCAAAGAGGTTGGACAGTGACGGGTCCTCTCGATCCACACAACACATCAACGTCGGGAGCCGAGGAGACAGTCGTTCAACATGGCAAAAGCAGCGGGATTAGTTAGGCACGCCCATGTTATGCTCCCAGACACATCTTCGGGGAAGATGGTTTTAGACGGTCGATCGGGTCGACACGCACGGGTCCGAGGTACGACATAGACCATAGCTTCGCTAACCCAAAGGGAATAGTCCGGTCTTTGATCCAATCGTCATGGGCAAGACGGAATCAAACAGAGCGACTATCGGGGCAATAAGAGCAAGAATATCCAAGAGCAAGGTCCACTTCTTCCAACACTCGCACCACGACGAAAGACGGGGCATCGGAAGGAGCGACACTCAAGAACACCAAGTGCGTAAGCCACTCATAGGGTACCCGACCTGGGTGCACTGGCACTAAGATATCTCTCGGATTCAAAGCGGCACGGTTGTCACCGTGAGAATCAGAGAAACGTGATGGTCAAACGGGGTACAAGCATACAAGGGCTTGAGCACGAAGAAGCAACTAAAAGCGAAAGAGAGGCGTGGCTCCATGGTCATGGCGAGGTGAACTCGTGGCCACAAGCTATGCCAATGAGTTGGCATTCATCGTTCCACGATTGTCTACTCCCAGGTTTTCTCCCACAGAACTTGGTCACGAAGGGCTCAAAATGTGCGGGTAATATCCGCATCGATATTGCCATCGATATTGAATCCATCACGTCCATGTTCTAGGGCCAAAGATAGGAGCTAACGCTCGTGGTACTCTGAAGTCAACTAAAAAGCGAGGGGTCGAGTTACACTCGGCATCACGGTCATGGCGAGACGGATCCCGCGATCGTAACGTCCGAACGAGGTACGATCCCTCAGCCAGCTCGAAGGCTCGGCACACAGGTAACAACACCAACAAGCAGCGATAAGAACCAAACACGACCAAAAGACGCAACAACTCGACACGACTGTGGAGTAGCACATCCCATAGCGAGGGGGATGGGTAGACCTGCACAAGGGCACGGTGCAGACAAATATAAATAGATCAAAATCACGTATCATAAGTGTACGAACGAGTATAAGGATAAGCAGGAAGGGGCTTTCGTCGGTGGTCGAAGATCTCACCGAGGTGGTCAGTGAGATCACC